CTCGTCCCACCTCTCCGGCCATGAGCTGGAGCCAGCAACGACGACCTTCTCTGCCTCGCTCCATCTTCCAGTCTTAGCAAGGGTTCTATTTGTGTGATAGTTGTTTATTTCCCTAGGTTGATTGCCTGACTCCAAGGGAATGTACGTATTGTAATAGTTTTTTATAATCGGATTCATAAGGCATATATATACATAAAATTTTAAATTAATATATATATATATATATATATTTTTAATAACTATTTCTGCAAAAAAAATATTTTATTACTAAATTTGAAAATTTCATAGACGTTATTGTTGACATTTCTTACCTTTATATTTGAAAAATATTTGCATGTATCTCTTATGATTGTTTGTTACATTACTTTATTAATTTAATATGTCATATCCCTTATTCACGATAAATTGATATATTACTTTATTAATTTAACATGTCATATCATAATTTTTTATTGCGATATACTTAATTCATTTTAAGTTTATTATAGAAAGAACAATTGACCACTAAAATAATCTTACTTACTTGATATTTTTTAAAGTTAATTTATTTTTTAATAAAAATCTCATCTATTTTCATCCAAAGAAACAATTGATTTATTGAAATAAATCATGAATAAGTATGTGATAATTTTAAAATTACCTAAATCTCTTTATTTTGATCCTAAAATTTGCGCACTCATCATTTTTTAGGAAAAAAATTGTAATCACGAATTTTAAACAATTTTTTTAGGAAAATTATTTTAGCATGAAAATCAAGGAGATTTATTTCTTGGTGAAAAAAAAGCCAAATCATAGTTAAATATTTAATTAAGTAACAACTTGATATAATTTAGAAAAAGTCGGATATTTTTTAGGACTTTATTGCATAAATTATATTTGAATATTAGCTAAATGAATAATATATATATATATATATATATATATAAAGATTTGATTATTTTTTAAATAGTAACTATTTCCCTCGAAAAAAATTTATTTACTATTTTAATAAATTAATTTAACAATTTATGGTATATTTCAAATGATCACTTACGGAAATTGCGGCTCATTATTTAAGGAAGTAATTAAGACATATTTTAAGATTTTTTAATTACTCAAATAATGTAAATTAATTAATATATTCTATATAGTGGATTAATTTATTTGATAACTGTTTTTTGTAGGAAATTTGTTGAAAAATTAATCAATATACGGTGTACATTTTTCTGTAATGCGCAGGCTAATGTATTGGTTTTAAGCGTTGGTTTCAATTTTTGTATAAAATTAACATAATAAAATTACAGTAACTCTGAGAAAATAATATGAACTGATATTTTGATATAATGTGCGCGTATCGATATTTTTTTTTATAGAAAAAGCTCTGGTCAATTTTTTTTTTTTTTTTGTATAATTAATGAGTCTCGATTTAATTCATTTTTTGTTACAACATTTCAAATAATTTTTGTATGAAATGTATTGTTCATTTTTTTAGCATGATAAGGAGTGTCGATTTTTTTGGCATAAAAAATCTTATGACTGATTGCTTTTACTCAACTATTTAAATTTTTTTATTTGGATATTTTGTACCAAATAAATTCATGTTAATTAGTTAAACAATATAAATTTTATATTTATACTTACTATTCACATAGGTTTTAAATATATGATAAAATTTACCAAAATAATTATTTTATGAAATCACCTTATAGTCAAATCGAATTTCTAAATAAAATTTTTGAAATGGCATATATTTTGAAATCATATAATGTAATTTATTATCAATTATGTGCAACGCACGTGATGTGTACTAATTTTAAATAGACATTTTTATGTAATTTTGCACAAATTAAATTTTATATAACATTTTCATATATAGGTACATTGTATTACATATTGATTCCATGTTTCTAATATATAAATATTATTTAACATAAATTTTTAATTTATAAATAGTAA